TCTTCACGCTACTCAGTAAATAATTTTTTTTTTCTTCAACACTTTTTAATAAGATTTTTGCATCGATGAATGTCGAAGATACATGCCCAATTCGTTCGAAATTTTTTAAGATGGCCAAGATGTTCAATGAATATCTGATCTCCTTGCTCAACAGTAGCAATTTTCTGCTTTAATTCAAAAGTTTTAGTGACATTACTTTGGTTTCCATAAAGTTATTCACCATCATAGACAGATTAACAACTTTCTTAGTTATTGTAAACTTGAAGATAAACAATCAGAAAAAAATTCGAACGGCCAAAAAACCTGAAAAAAGAGATCAGCTGACTTGAGGTTGATTTTGACCTATTAAATTAACATTGCAAAGTTCTTGCTGACTTGGAAAAACACGACCGTTTTTGTAGAATTTGCGAAAAGCTCAAAAAACTGAACTTCGCAAAAATAAATAATAAAGAAATTAAATGGAGATCTAGATTACAAGAAATGCTAGCATGGAGTATGGAGGAACCAGATCAAATAAAAAAACTCCCTTTCTAATACCATCAAGAATTCAATAATGGGTAAAACTAATAAAGAAGAACATTAGAACTTACGTGGTTCGACATCGTTGGGCAAACTTATGTCCACGGGAGAAGAGAGGAGATTGTATTTCAGTTCTGGTCTACCTCATCACTCACAGTATATTCTCTAATATTAACAAATATTCTCAAATATATCTCTTCTTCAACATATGTGTATTCATATATGTAATTATATGTAATCTTTTATTGTTCAGCGAACAAATAAAAACTTAGGATAAATTTTATTTTAGTTTACTCTCATTTTACTTATGTAACAATTCATTAGATGCTATATAGCTCCCTTGGTGGTCTGGAAATTTTTTCAATCATGGCTATATAGAGTTAGGCAGAATAGAGAACTAGGGCTTCACACATGGGTCCACATAAGTTCCATAAGGGTCGTGTCTACAATTTGGTCACCACCACTAAATCCAATGCACTAGATAACTTTTCAAATTTAGCCTTGATTGATTTCCATTACTTTAAAAATAGATTTTTCTCTTTTTTTTTTTTAACAACACATTTTTCAATAAAAGAATATTGCAGGCAGACCCAATTTTTTTTTCTTCTTATTTTTTACTTACACATTCTCTATCCAATCAACTATTATTTAAAAAAAAAATGGATCTCAAATATGCTCTTTAACCTGAAATGCGACCTAACCAATTTAGAGAACTAAATCAACCAATGAAGAGAAAATCAGCAATACCTGAGTATTGTGATTCGAACAAGACTACCTGTATACCCAAATATGTACGTTTTGGTTGACACTTCTTATGTGTAAAAAAATCTAACAATTGATTCAAAAACATGTTTTTAAAATCAATGTACCCAAATTTGTCAACAAACAGGAGTATAAACAAAGAGTAAACTAATGTGTACATATAGCATGACTCATGTGATTCACAGGTTTTGCTATTTGTACACACCCCTCACGGAAGAAGGGGCCCACATCCAATAAAAAATTTGTGAGCCCCCTATTGTGAGGAGAGCTGTATATCGGGGTGTCAACCCGATGTATATATAACAAAACCTTGTGATTCACTGAGCAAAAACAATTGGACAGAAATTAAGCCTTATTTGGTTTATATAAAAATAAAATTTTGAATAGTTTTTTATAAAAGTTAATGACGAAATGTATGGTTAAAATTGATTTTAACCATATATTTTATGAGATTCACAACTTTTCAACTACATATTTTATTAATTTTTATTAAAATCTATTAAAAAATCTTATTTTAATTCTACCAAACAATGGCTTAGTTAATTTATCAGTGTAAAGGGACTTAGATGACTCAACAGTCAAGGCACCAACCAATACACACTTAACAGGCACAAGCACCCACTGGCCTAATTAAACACACTATTTTAATAATTAAAATACTCTTAAATCAATTTTTATCAAAATTTACTAAAAAAATTAATTTTAATCCATAGGATAAACACAAGTTAATCATTAACACTTAAACAGAAGCTATACACCACAAATTATTCATCACATCTTCACATTTGGACAAGACATCTAAAGTATGATTAGTCCTCCAATATCAGCAGTGAAGCCGCCGTCCTCTCCTGTTCAGATCGCGACGGAGCCACCGGAGTCTGCCGCAGCAGAGTCAGATTTCGTGGTTATCCTTGCTTCTTTGTTATGCGCTCTAATCTCAGTGATGGGCCTAATTGCGGTGGTTCGGTGTGCCTGTCTCCGTCGCGGTGGAGCTGCAGTAGGAGGACAGATATCAGCCAATAAGGGTTTGAAGAAGAAGGTGCTGCAGTCATTCCCCAAGTTCACATATGATTCCTATTCCGTGGATGGGGCGGCGTTGGTGGATTGCGCCATATGTTTAGCGGAATATGTAGATGGAGATGATATCAGGGTGTTGCCGGATTGCGGCCATGGGTTCCATGTTCTTTGTATAGACAAGTGGCTGGGATCCCACTCGTCTTGCCCTTCTTGTCGGAAGATTCTTGCCGTGGCTTCGTGTCGTAAATGCAGCGAGATGCCGGAGATCTCTGACGCCGGCGATGCCATCACGGATCCTGCTGAAACTGAGCTCAAGTCCAGACAAGATCGCTTTGCTGCATCGAGTTCAGTTGGGTTTTTGCCGTAGAAAATAAATATCTATTTAATTGGAGATTGGAAATTCGAGCTCGGGAATCGCAGCGGTCATCGTAAATGTCTGCAGGGATCATTCCGACATTCGTGTATGATTGTATCGAATTTAAGTATTATTTTTATTTTGTAGAGAAAGAAAATATATTCGCATCTTTTAATTTCACCTCATTTTAATTGCATAAGAAACTCATAATTTTTACTTATTATTATCCATTCACGTTCTCAATTTTTTTCATTGTATTCTTATTCTTAGATTAATGCAACTTTATAATGACGTTTTCTGTTGAAATTTTTTTCGTTGAAATGAAATTAAGCTCCTATTTGATCAACATTATTTTTTTCATTCTCATTCTTTTACTCATTTTCAACCACACACTTCAATAAAATAATATTTTTCATCAGATCAATAACTTTTCCTTCTTTTTCAACCACACATTCTCCATCAATCTACTATTCCAGAATACACCAAAATAATATGGCTCAAACACATCATAAAAAAATTATTTACCTAGCTTCGTGTTTTTAAATAAGCTAAGAAAATAAAATATTACAATTAAATATTTGCCATTAGTTTTAAAGTACATTTTCAGTTTTTTTGAATGAGAAATCCTAATTAAAAACATAATTTACTAGTCAACGAAAGGAAAATATAAAAATTATGATTTAAAAACTAAGGATATAAATATGATAATATATAAAAGTTAAGAAATTGATCATTAAATTTGACATGGCAATTGTACATCAACTTGAGAGATTTGTAGAATGACAATGTGTAATCTAATGAAATATTGTGGAAAAAGAAGAAGAAATTCTTTTTACAAAGTGTTTTCATTACTTGTTATAGAAGAATGCTTGCTTAGCTCGCCATTGGTAGGGGACCATTGCCCTTTATACAAGTCTTTCAATGAGAGCTTGTTGACTTCTATCTCGTCGAGTAACAATAATTTACCTCGATTAGTTCATCGTTATGTTTGAAAAGATGTAAGGGGTTAATAACCCAAATGGTCATTGAATTTTGTAAATTTTTTTTACTTGGCCACTGAACTTTAAAAATCACCCAAATCGTCGCTGAACTTTGCAAAATGTTTACATGGGGTCCTTGAACTTTACAAAAAGTTACCCTGAAATTCTTTTGCAAAGTTTAGTGATGAATGAGATGATTTTTAAAGTTCAATGACTCGTGAAAATATTTTGCAACGTTCAGTGATCCCATGTAAACTTTTTGTAAAGTTCAATGATGATTTGAGTGATTTTTAAAGTTCAATAACCCTGTGAAAACTTTTTACAAAGTTCAGTGACCATTTGAGTTATTAACCCAGATTTAAGAATTAAGTTAGTTGTATACCATTTTTTGACATCAAGTTTGATATCCCCTATGTGTAGAAAATTTGATCATTGATCGAAAAGAATATTGTTAAAATCAATGTATAAAAAATTCGCCAATTCATGATGTCAAACTTGATGTGTATGTAGGAAGATAAAAAATTTAATTGGTTGAGGAGTTCGATCAATTTAGATCATCGTGACATTTAAGCCAAAACTTGTGATCTATGTCATTATTACACGTCCTGATAATCATTGTTTTCTTTTGATTAGTGAACTTTACATTGTTGACGTTAGATGTGACACTTATTCGTTTTTGGTTGGTGGTTATGGAGTTGTTGACGTCAGTTAGAAACATTTTTTCAATTGATCATGATGACATTTTCAAATAACGCGAGTTCGTGATCGCTCTCATCTGATTGGTCCTATGGTTTGTTCTCGTTCTGTGTTTAAAAAAAAATTCAATTAAGCTCCTTTAATCAATTTCAAAAGTGAGAATGAGATAACCATTGAGATCAAACACCAACATTAACTCCTGTTTGACAAGCATTAAACTCATTTTTTTCCTTCTCAAATTCGTTTTCAACCAACCATTTTCGCAATAAGCCCCTGCTTGATGAGAGGAAATACATGGAAATAATCTTTTCATTGGAGTGTATTTCCAAACTAACCTTTGACTAGGAAATCGAATTAAAAAAAAATGTGAAAATATAGTTTTATTTGAAAAAAGTCAAAAATACCCTCACTTTGTCAAAAGAAAAGCTCTCACTCACGGATCTGGGCCGGCTGTCACTTGGGCCACAGCCGACCCAGATCCGGGTGTCAGACAGTTATTAGGCCACAGCCAGCCCAGAGCACTAAGTTTCTGGGCCGGCTGTTAAGTAGGCCCATATATATATATATATATACTAGTTATGGTCGTGCAATGCACGGCTTTTGTTATT